ATATTTTCAGCCTTCGCTCAGAACTTTCAATAAACCGTTAATTTTATTATTATTATTACACACACACACACACACACACACAGGCATATCCGCTCAACATCCACCCAAACTAACGACATACAGACTGAATTTACACAGTCATCAAGGCAGTACACACACACACACACACACACACATCACTTAACGGGTCACTCAACCAATATAGACAACCCCCCAGCCCACACCCTACCCCCCTTGTACAAAGGGGTGATGATAATTATAACAACAGAAACACCGCTATAGTGCAGTGGACGGAATCAGGCCATTGTTGGGGGGGTGTGTGAGGGAAGAAGCGCCACGTTGCGTTATGGTGAAACTATAACCCAATTTTTAACCCTTTTCTTTTACTATGTACTTTTCTCTTTGTACTGTTTATAGTGGTTTTTGTTTTCATATTTTTTTTTAACTTTTTGTTGTCATTTGTGTTTTGGTGTTCCCTGATTATGTTTGAAGAGGAGGAGTAAAGAGAGGACGAGAAGGAGCAGGAGGAAGAAGAGATGGAGGAAGAAGAAGAAGAGGAGGAGGAGGAGGAGGAGAGGAGGAGGGAGGAGGAGGAGGAGGAGGAGGAGGAGGACGCCCAGGAGATGATGAAGTCTCTACATGTGTATTCATGACCAGCGCCCTCAGGCACCAGTGGTTGTGGTGACAGTGTTGTGCTCGCCTGATGGCCAATGTTATATACACTACCGCGAACGGGGTCAATATTACCTGAGGATCCCCGGACCTAATCCTCGAGTGGCTTGGGCCCTTCTCATCCTCTAAACGGGCCAGCACCTCTCCTCCCAACTGACCAATCACGGTTCACCTTGAATTAATATATTGAATTAAAATTAAGATATTCGCTGGTAAGTTGAGACGTAGAGAGAGATTTGCTATCAATTTAACCATCCACATGCGTTTAATGCAATACAATTCATCCAAATAAATTTATCTTTAAAATCATCCTCAGGTTCAAAGTCAACGAGTCAATCAATACAAACGAAGGCGAGACGTCAACAGACACTTGAATTTGGCGGGAGCTATGACGTCACTTGACAACGGGTCAGGCAGGTCTCATTGTTTACATCTGTTACTATGATAGTTGCCAGAGGTCGCCACACCTTCGCTACTCATTGATTCTTCTGCGCTCTTAAATCCATTTTTTATCCTTTTTTTTATATTTACTACTGATTTAAATATTCTCAGATATATATTAGATATTTTTCTCTCTCAGTAAAACATCCTTCTGGTTGTTAAACACTCACCATCTTCATAATATGTAATAAAATAAATATATGCATGAAAAAATAGTAACTGGCATCACACGCACCATTATAATAACCCCCTTAACCCCCCCCTCCCCAGAACTCTCCCCCCCACCCCACCTCATACACACGTCCATACATATTCCAACAACATATACAAAGAATACTTATTAATACACAAACGAATACATAAAACAGTGTTAATAATACCCACATTTCCTTACGATTGAGAAAGTTAACCACAGGAAAGAGTACACAAGTGTTCCAGAAAAATGTAAACACTCTGCCTCATAGAATTTCGTGAAGGTTGTGTGAATGTTTGTATTTAAAAGAACAACATTATCTTCATGTGTGGAAGACCTGACATACCAACAAGTGAGGAGAAGATTGATGTTGTCATATATTATTCACACGATTTTAATATACAAGGGGTAAATGAAAATCTGTACGGCAGTGTGTATACATTTTTCTGAGACACTCTGTATATACACCATCTGCCTGGCCCAACGTTAATTGATGGATGGTAAACTGGCGAGGAACGAGATTGTGGAAGGGAGAGTGGGGAGGGGTCGGAGAGGAGAGAGGCAGGGCTGAGGGAGGCGGAGGGGAGTGGGGGAGGGGCCGGAGAGGAGTGGGGAGGGGCCGGAGAGGAGAGTGGGGGAGGAGGTCGGAGGAGAGTGGGGAGGGGGTCGGAGGAGAGTGGGGAGGGGGTCGGAGGGGAGAGGGGAGGGGGCTGGAGGGGAGAGGGGGAGGGGGTTGAGGGGAGAGGGGAGGGGTAGGGAGAGGAGAGTGGGGAGGGGTTGGAGAGGAGAGTGGGGGAGGGTCGGAGGGAGGGAGTGGGGGAGGGATCGGAGGAGAGTGGGGAGGGGTAAAGGAGTGGGGAGGGATGAGGGAGGGCGGTGCAGGGGATAAGGAGGTGGAGAGTGGAAAGGGGGATCAGGGAGGGAGGCGAGAGAGGAGGGAAAGGGAGGAGGAGAAGGGAATGTTAAGGATAAATGACTAAGTGGAGAAAAGAGACAGATGACACAAGGGAGAAAGGTAGATACAGAGGGGGAGAGGCGATTCGAGAAGGAAATGGGAGAGGAGAGAAGAAGGGGAGGTGGAAAGGAAGGGCTTAAGAGAGGTGAGGAGGAAGGGTCAGTGCACCAAGTGAGGGAGACCAGGTGGTGGGTGCCACTTGTCGGAGGGAGGAGGAGGAGGAGTAAGATGAAGGTGTGATTGCAGCGAGGAGAAGGAAAGAGGTGGATTAAAGATGGAGGGAGTAAATGTACGTTGAAGAGGGAAGGAGGGAGGGAGGAAGAGAGGGAGAGGGAGAGAGGAGGGAGGAGGAAGGAGGGAAAGAGGGGAGAGAGGGAGGGAGGGAGGGAGGAGGAGGGAAGGAAAGAGCGGGAGAAGGGAGGGATGAGATGAAAAGATGGAATGAGGCGGAGGATGGGGAGGTAGGGTGATTGAATTGCAGGGAGGGAGGGAGGAAGAGGAGTAGTAGGTCACGGCATGGAGAAGGGGGCAGAGGCAGGAACAGGAAGGAGAATAAGGAGAGAGAGAGCACTTTGGTTGTATAGTGAAAAAAGAGGGAAAGGTGGGGGGTGGCAGGTTGAGAGAGGAGAATAGGGGAGGTAAGAGGGGAAGAGAGGGGAGAAACCACTATCACCTGCACTACACCTCCCCCGCCTCAACCACCACCACCCTCATCCACTCCACCACTACTACCACCATCAACCTCACTACCACCACTATCATCATTTCTACTACCCTCCAACCACTACTACAATCAACCCAACAACCCACCACTACCTATCACCCACCACCACCACTACCCTATCACCCACCACCACCACCACTACCACCTGTGTCTTGTGTGCAGTGGCAGAGTGTGCTAGCAGTAGCGTGAGTGTGGTGTGGAGGTTCATACAGCAATCTGGTACAGCACGACCTTGTTGCTACTGCTGCTACTGCTAATAACACGAGAGAACAGCTTGACACATGGAGAACAATCAACTTTAATTATGATGAACAATGAAAAAGAACTCACACAAGTTGTTGTAATTCGTGAAAAACAAATATTTGGTTGTGTGTGTGTGTGTGTGACGGTGAACATGGTAGAAGAGTTTGCACGTGGCTCACTAAACTAAGAAGAACAACTATTTGTTTTCAAGGTTATCACTGTGAAGAACAATCATCTGTGTTATAGTGAACTCAAAAGAACACGTGTGTATATTATTTTGAACAAGGATTACCTGTTAGACTGTGTGAATTAGCTAGAACAATCACCCGTGTTCAGTGTGTGCTGTGAGAAAAACTTGTGTTCCTGTGTGTATATAACAATGAGTTAGCCTTTGATCATGACAATAAGGGATGAAAAATAATTAAGAGGAAGGACAAACAATAAACAATAAGAACAGGTGAAAGTAAAGGAGAAAAACAACCAGATACATTAATTAATTCCATCCACCTGATCTTTACTTAAGGATAAAAGCTAGAATATTGGACACATAAATGGAACAAAACATAAACCTAACATAACATCATAACAAAACAAGAAATTTACAACATTGTCACAAAGTTGAAAAATGTGTTGACTGGGATATGCAAATCAAGACTGCGTAGATTAATATTGGAAACCAGTCGTTGTTGTTGTTTTTTCTTCGGTTTTGACAGCTAAATGTAGTGTCTTCTAGGGAGTAGATATCATGCGGCAAATTTTTAGTATACTACCTAGCCAATGACATAGAGACTGAGTGACTTGAGCGGCCACCAGTATCACCACGCTCACCTTAAAGCTTAATGTGCACAACCATTGATCTTGACAAATTGTGACGACTGAGAGAAAAGAGAAGAAGGCGAAGAAGACGAAATAGAAGCAGACCAAGAAGAAGAAAGAAAGAAAAAGAAATAACTAGAATCAGAAGAAGCAGAAAGAAATGACGAAGAGGAGATAGAAGAGGTGCCCTTTGTGATATCAACAGTGGATGAGAGAGAGAGAGAGAGAAAGAGAGAGAGAGAGAGAGAGAGAGAGAGAGAGAGAGAGAGAGAGAGAGACCTAACATCATTAACATAAGGTCAATAAAGGTCAGGTCATAAAGAGTTTAAACGATGATACTATAAAGTAGGTCAGCACCATAGTAAATCTAAAAGGCACTTGTGACGATATCAGTGTGAGGCATTATTGATCAGAGCACCAGAGACGAATATCGATCCATGGCCACACACGATACTGAGTCGGCCGTGACATACACTTAGTCATGGTACGCCTTGGATACCATAACAAAAAAAGAAATCGTTTGAGTAATATTTGCCGATGTAATAGTTAGCGACATCTACCAAGACATCTATCCAATATCAAACTGTCATTGTTTTGACATTTTGAAGCGTTCGTCAGGAGAAGGAAGAGGAAGAAGAAGAGGAGGAAGAGGGAGGAAGGACAAGAAGAAGAAGACGAAGAAGAAGAAGAAGAAGAAGAAGAAGAAGAAGAAGAAGAAGAAGAGCATAGAACATGGAGGAGGAGGAGGAATGGGTGAACAGTGGCGGCCTTGGTGTCCATCGGCAACTTATTCAGTAGGTTGTGGTCAAGGAAAAGGTTCTTGTGTATTCACCCTTCAGGTACACAAACACCTCGCTTGTATTATGGTTGAATTTTTTATCATACTTTTAATGTTATGTATTGATAATTACTGTTTGAAACATAGCCTTGCAGTTGAATAATTGGGGTCTTGTCGGTGTACAGTGAGGCACCATGAACGCGCAAGTACAAATAAAGAATTGAAAACGACTCACTTGAATTCTTTAAAGGAATCAAATGAAATGGAAATACAGTTCGTCACATTAAGAAAAAAGGAAAAAATACGAAATAAAAAGAAAAATAATTATTCGAGAACTTAACCCCGGGTCGCAGGAGATACCGAGGAAACACTGCATCAGGTTGGCAGTGAGATGATGAAATTGTAACACGATTTATTAGACTTTTTTTCTCCGCTGGAAGACAAGTGCCCAGTGGACGACTTTACCCACTAGAGGTAAAAATAGTCCGAGGTCTGCACCGTTTTGTTTTGGTTAAGAGTTCGTGTTGACACTTAAACCCTATAGCGTGTCTTGAAGTCATTGATGTGGAGTGAAACTATAGATTAATGGACTATAATTTTGTGTTGGAAGAACATTATCGACGCCTTGAACAAACACAATACCTCACGCATACTGACAAATACACAAAGACCAATTGTATAACCCCAAAACATTACAAGTTTGTGAATCATAAACATTTGAATATTCCTTCCCACAAGCCCTCATAGTCAGTCCGTGACAACCTCTCTGGAACAACTAAAAAACTCGACCTCAACTTTTGTAAACCCGTGGAGTACCCTGCAGCTACCGACGCAACCCTTTACACCACTGGAAACACCTCTCATCTCGCCCCCACCCTTCTAAGGCCCTCATCAGCCCCAACAAGTTCTTACAAGGCTTCAGGATCCACCACTACAGCCACTATCACCATGTCTCGCCACCTAGAGCTACCTACGGGTAAGAAGATCCACATCTACAAAAGCGGGGACACCTTCTATAAGGGCGTCAACATCGTCGTCAATCCCAAACATTATAAGAAGATGGACACCCTTCTCGCCGAGGCCACCAGCAAGGTCAGTATAAGACACAGTATAATAATGTTCATTTTCATATAAAGTCTAGTAGTATTATAAGATATAAAATCAACACAAACAATTCAATATATATATACATACAAACTACAATTCCTATATGAGAGTTTCTTATATAACACAAAGCAACATAATGCTGTATAGAGAACTACCGTAAATAATGGGCGGAGGTGAGGCGAACTGGGACGGCAATGTGATATATGTTTTTTACTTGAAAATGTAAATATGTAAATCAATAATTGGGGATTCTTTGGTACATGAAAATACTTGAGTATTTTCCTCTTGCTTACTGTCGGCGAGTAAGACAGATACACTACCCCTCCCTCCCTCCTGCTGACACTACCTCTCCCTCCCTCCTGCTGACACTACCCCTCCCTCCCTCCTGCTGACACTACCTCTCCCTCCTGTTGTCACACACGTCTCAAAGACAGGAAGGTCTCAACTTTAGACCCATGATATAACACCATCAGCTGGTTGACAATCAGCGAAGTTGGCCACAACACCGTCAGGTATCCCGGTAGTGTGGTTGAGTTGAACAGAGTTGTGGTGAGACGCCCTACAACAGTGCAACTTATGTTCACCACAAAGAAGCCTTTGTCTCTGTCGCTTTGCAATCGACGAGGTTGATCATATTGTTGCACGGAGTTGAGTAGCTCGAGAGACGGACTTATAAAGCATCGAAATAGATTTGAAGAATATTTATACGTCTTATGAATTTTCTTACGGCCCTGAAGAGAATTAAATGAGCTCACAGTAACTGTCATATACATAAAATGCATGCAAATAGTTCGTCATAGCTGGGTTAAACGTCAGTCTGTTTTCACGCCCGGCAGCGCCCCACGAGCGAGAAAGAAAGAAAATTCTCTCAGAGTGTTAGTGCGTCAGTCAGTAAATGCGTTATATGTTAACTGAGCGTAACTATATATCTATAATTACCTGTGCAGTGTTGTGTACAGGTATTATGATAGACTGGGGAGGGAAGGAGTAACTTTGTCCCTTATCAGCACATGGAGTAAGTGTTTCGGGAAATTTTATCTTTTACTTTATTTCTACCCGGAAACTTTTACCTCCGGGAAAGGTTAAAATTGAGTCTGTAAGTTAATGGTAGAGACGGCAGGTCAAAGGAGACAGACTCTTCGCCCTTCGTTTTCCTTCTCCTTCTCCTCCTCCTCCCCTCGCCTTCCTTCTCCTATCTTCCTCCTCCTCCCCGGGCCCTGAGAACTAACCACTTCCTTACCACACAACTTTTTAAGGTATTTCACTTCCGTCTTGAAGGTTGTTTCCTTATGAGAACGAGAACCTTTAACTGCCTCCCCCGCCCCCCCAAGGTTGCTAGGGCCGTGTGTGTGTGTGTATGTATGTGTGTGTGTGTGTGTGTGTGTGTGTGTGTGTGTGTGTGTGTGTGTGTGTGTGTGTGTGTGTGTGTGTGTGTTCTTTAAAATCACTATCATACGTTCCATCAGGTAGTATGAACACGTACGACTATGAACATGAATGAGTATAACTCACCTCCTCCACCATTAGCCATCACCTATCACTTCTCCTCAACCAGTAACTGTCTTGCTTCTCCTCCTCTTTCTCCACCAATAACTTCCTCCATTAACCTTTAAATCATCTCTAAAAAAATATCTATTGTCGAAGTATTAATATTTTTTGTAACACTTACTATATTTACAGTAACTGCTTTTATTGTACCATCAAAACCATTTTATCGGAAATTATCATGTAAATAAATAAGTAAATACCATTGCAATAAATATAATTGCCAACTAGACATAATCCAGAAAGCTCTGTCTTTTTGTTCAACCTTATTACTGTAAAATCCAGGTTGTACTGCTCCCCCATTATACCTATGTTTTTCATTTCCACTGTAATTTATATGTATATGTGTATGTGTATGTATATGTATGTGTATATGTATGTATATATATATATATATATATATATATATATATATATATATATATATATATATATATATATATATGTGTGTGTGTGTGTGTGTGTATAAATGTATATGTATGTGTATATGTATGTATATATAAATAAAAAATAAAAATAATAAATAATAAAATAAATAAATGTTGAAGTGATAACTGTGGTAACACTATGAGATGTACTTATTACTACCATGCTATTGTACTTAATGTACTATTCCAGATGACACTAAATGTTACATAATACTTCCTTGAGATAAATTTATAGTGTTTATCAGGTGCCTCAAAGAGAGTTCAGGTTCTCAACTGGCTCAGCCATGTTAATATTGTTATTATTATCCACTCTGTATCTGTATTTTTCTGGCTAAATAATATGTTTCAATTCAATTCAATTCAATTCAAAAATTCCTTTTCTCCACCAATAAAGTCCTTCTCTAACTTCCTCCACCAATAACTTCACTCACCTTTCTCCAACACTAACTTCCTCTACTAACCTCCTCTTTCTCCACCAATAACCCCCTTCCACCAATAACTCCCTCCTCCACTAAACTCCTCCTCCTTCTGCTACTCTTACAGGTGGACCCGGTGTGGGGAGCGATACGGACCCTTCACACACCCAACACAGGCACGGTGGTCGAGAACCTTGAGGGCCTACGTCGTCAGGGGGCCTACGTGGCAGCTGGACCCAAGGGCTTCGTCAGTATCCCTGGAGGGTGAGTATGTACACTGAGTCACAGGTTCTTAGAGGGGAGAAGTACAATAAGGGAAAAGTCCTATGAAGGAAAAGCTGTATAAGTCTTATGATGGTAAATTCCGACGATGTTGAAGTTTGTGTGTGTGTGTGTGTGTGTGTGTGTGTGTGTGTAAAGATGGCGAGAGGAGTAGGGGAGTTATTGTTGGCGTGGGTAACTCTACACGCTATTGACCTCAACTGAAAATACCCACGCCAGGTCTACATGCTGCAACCCCCACTCTTGACAAAACCCACGCCACAGTCGTCTCTTGACAACACCCCACGCCTCCACGCCTCAGTCCTCTCTTGACAATCACCCACGCTTCCAATACCACCACACGCCTCTCATCCTACCATTAATATTCCAGCCCGTACCATCAGTATGCAATATTGATCCAACACAAACATAAACCATTTTAATGCAACGAAACAACTATTTCAGGATTACCCCCCAAAAACGACTTATTAATTCATTTCATCTGGTCATTATCGTGGCTATATATATTACCAGTTAATAGAATAATAGATCTTGTTATATATCAGTGTTATAGTAATAGTGGAGACATATATGATGGTTTACAATATCAGAGTCGTGAATTGCACCTATGTTGTCTAAATTGGCTTAGGGACGCTTCCCCTTACCTCCCATAACACCTACAGAGAATTGGACAACTTTGATTGGCTTGGCGACTGTACTGTATGTGGCCAAAGATTACAACAGGACTAGTGGTTTCGTCTCCCTCATAAAATAAATACTGTAAAAAAGTGTAAATCGTAAAAAAAAGATCTAGTTTATTTACAAATGGACCCCTTAAAGTAAAATTTTTTGAAGAGGAACAAAATTTACAATTATACCCCAAACTAAAAATCATAAAAAAAAGGCAAAAGGAGATATTTAATTGCACCTTTTTTACGAGGAAATGATTTAACAAGATAACAATATTTACAAATGGGATCCTGGAATAACTGGAAAGCGCGAGAAGTAACACAGAGACGAGGTTGTATTCTCAAAGGTTCATCACCGCCAATTTTCCTCGTAACTTAATCCCCCCAAAAATAACCTTACACCCACTATGATATCAGATTCACGGTGAGACTCTACCTTAATTAGATACGTTCACCTAACATCACCATATAAGTTATTTTACACGTAGAGTCTATATACATTACAGTACATTATATATCTGCGATGCCTATATACATGCTGAACCTATTGTAAATTTGTATAATGATTTAACTGAATATCTATCTATCTATCTATCTATCTACAGTGGAACCTCCATATAATGGACTTCTCTCTCCATATAATCAAGAGTCTCGGGGAAGAGAGAGAGAGAGAGAGAGAGAGAGAGAGAGAGAGAGAGAGAGAGAGAGAGAGAGAGAGAGAGAGAGAGCACCACCACTACTTCATAATTCACAACCTACTCCCTCTAACACACACACACACATACAAATACCTCACTATACACATACATGCATCCTCATTGGTGGTCTTTCTTCACCTCTTGACCAATCACAAGGCCTCCACCATCTACGTCATAGCTGGTCTTGCCTCGCCACAGGACAGACACGGGTTAAGGGGTTCCCATTAATCTTACCCTTACTAAAAAAAACTTTAATTACAGTGGATAAAGTAATAGTTTTCTACTTAAGCCCATTAAGTACGATGACTTAATCCCCTTGAGTGCGATGCCTTAACTACCTTGAGTACGAGGACTTAACCTACTTGAGTATGATGACTTAAACCCCATTTAATTACTATTCCTTAACCCCCTTTCGAGAACGATTTAACTCCCTTGAGTAATATGACAACCTCTTGGGTACAATGACACCCCCATTGAATACGATAACAACCCCTTGAGTACAATTGAACCCCTTGAGTACGATGAAAACCCCTTGAGTACGATGAAAACCCCTTGAGTACGATGAAAACCCCTTGAGTACAATGACAACTCGAGTACAATGATTTATATATTAAAACAAACACATTACCATAAAACAACAACAACAACATGACATAGACGATGTTTTTAACGCGTGGCAAAATTGACTCACTTATGACGAGACACAAACAAGGCTAACTTGATGTAATTGAGTTTTTACTATAACTAGATGCTCTTCCTTCGTCCCCCTTACCCTCCTCCTCCTCATGCTCCCCATCCTCCTCTTCCTCCCCTCACCCCCTTCCTCCTCCTTCTTACCTTACTCTCTCTCTCTCTCTCTCTGTCACACGAACCACCTGTGTATGTGAATGAAGACAGATGGTGTCACGCCTTCCAGGTTTGTGTATCGAATCCAGTAGTCACTTAGCAACCAGCTGAGTACTAAGGGCGGCTGGTGCTTGTGTGTGTGTGTGTGTGTGTGTGTGTGTGTTTAGGTACATTGTTTTGGTTGTCTTAAGTGCTGTCCTACATATTCTAAGGGTTTTAAGTAAGGTTAAGGGTTTTAAGTAAGGTTAAGGGTTTTAAGTAAGGTTAAGGCCTTGAGGTAATCGAGTGAAACACCTTCCCTTTATTTTAGGATTTAAGGTCTTGGGTAACACTATTTTCATTTGTCTAAAGAGGGACGTTTTAAGTTTAAGGACCATATTTACTAATATTTTAAAGCTTTTTTTTTAAGGTTAAGCTACTATTTTGGGGAGCTTCAGGGCGTCTATATGGCAATAGTACCAGTAAGTTGTTCAAGCACGCGAGCCTGATTATCGACTATTCCTAAAATATACTACTTACTTGTTGGCAACTGAACCATGTAAAGGCGTACGCATTTAATGATGTTTAGAAAAATTCACCTCTCATATCTCTTTCCCTATTTCTTTCCTTTTCTCTGTTTTTATTTTCCTATCTCACTATTCTGTCCATTCCATTACATTTCCTCTACCTCCCCCCCCCTGTCTCTCACTCTCTATTTTACTATTATTAGTTTTTTCCATACGACTACATCTCTCTCTCTCTCTCTAAAACAGTGAGAGAGGTAGTAATAGTCTAATAGATGACCAATAAGCCAGTCACTCAACACAAACAATGTTCCTTGAAAATACTGAAGTGTGGTGGTGGCGTCAAGGTGTCCGTGTACCCGAGCACTTAACCAGATACGTCAAGCAGGTTGCCACTTGCCATGCGCTCACTACGTCAAGCAGGTTGCCACTTGCCATGCGCTCACTACGTCAAGCAGGGATACCAGTTGTCAGGTGATTAATATGAGTGGTGGGCAATTAGCTGTCATGGTGTTAATAGGACTGGGAAGGCCAAAAATCGCTAAAAAGGACAATATATCGTTATCAATAGCTGAAAAATCGCTAATAACAAACGAAAAATCTGCAATAAAAGAAAAATGTCTAAGGCCAAAAACCGATGACACGAAAGATCTCAAATATAAATAAAATAATAAATGCTATTAACACGAAAAATTGCTATTGCCCGTATAAAGAAAACGCTAAAAACTGGAAATATCGTTAATAACAAGACAAATTGCTAAAAACACCCTAAATATCGCTAACACGCGGAATATCGCCATGAAAGCGACACAGCCAGAATGATCGCCAAATCGACGCTATGTCTGCAGGGACGACGCGTGACTGACCAAGGTCGACCTTGTAATGGGACTTAAAGACTAGCTATTGGAGTACTATGGCCTTGTGATCCGTGTGGAATATATAACCCCCCCCTCCCTCTCTTCTAAATAAAGACAGGTAAATATAGAGAAATTCACGATAGAAAGGTGAAACAGAAATGGAACAGATATTAAGAAAGATCAGTCAGGAAGTCCCTCACCTCTCCCACTATAAACATTCCTCAGTCAGATCAGCCAGGAAGTTCCTCACCTCTCCCACCATAAACATTCCTCAGTCAGATCAGTTCAATAAGCTAAGGTCTACAACTTCCACCCCCTCCCTCACCAATAACCATCCATCAGTCAGTAGGGTTTCCTTAACATAGTCCATACCCCCTTTACCTTACACGTATGGTCTAGAATATACATGAGGGACAGTATAATGACCTTGATACATAATTAACCACGGGAGACAGGTACTATAAGACCTTAAATTATTAAAACTAATTATTAAAACTTTGATGCCTAGTAATTAATTAACCTTGCCTTAATTGGTAGTTAAGTTTGATGCATCGTCCCGGGTGGGTGTAAGTTAAGACACCAACAACACGCTTGAGTCCTGTTATACTATCGACAATAAATCTCGGCATATTATGTTTTGAAGGCCAGAAGCTCACCCACTATAGCATAAGGTAGTGGAGCTGACTTATCAATGTCTTAAAACCTTTTATAAACAATTGTTACTCTGTTTTTCTGGATTCTGGACTGAAAAATAATGGCTGTAGGAATTTTAACGTACTCCAGAAAGCTGTTTTTTTTTCAGAATAGTACTCAGGATAATGAATTTTATAGCTACAAAATATTCGTTGAAGTTAAAAAAAATAAAATGAAATAAAAAAGATAAAAAAAAAGATAATATAACTAAAGCTGTTCAGGTGTAATGGACATTCGAGTCTTGTGGAAATGTTTAACAAAATCTATCTAGAATTAATACAGAAATTCACTAAACAATAACTAACTATTCCTAGATATTAATATACAGAATTCCCTAAAGAAAACTAAATACCTTGTTCATATTCTGGAGAGGAAATAGATTATCCAGGCATCGCTAAACGCTGTAAATTTGTTTACAATAATTTCGTCAACATTCACGAACTCTGAATTAGGAAGTAACCTATAATCCCAACGCAAAAGATTCCGATTTCGGGTCGTTTAAACCACGTCAAATGAGGGTTAAAGAGCCGTAATTAACCAGGAAGTTTAATTAAACCATGAAAATTTTTGCGTGCATGTGTGTGTGTGTGTGTGTGTGTGTGTGTGTGTGTGTGTGTGTACGCTAACCACTTCTTGGCTTCGTGTTTAGGTAGGAAGGTCGTGGTGGTGGAGGCGGTGGAGGGCTGAAGGGGGAGACTAACTTGTTTTTTCGAGTTT